GCAGAGCAGAACAGAAGCATTCCAATGATTTGCTCTCTGTTCCCCAAATGGAGCAGCTCACTTAGCTGACAGATACTTCCTAGAGCTTTGAAAGCAGAGGGGCACATGCCTGCAGGGCAGCAGAAACCACAAAATACTGAGCATAGCCACCAGTGCAGGCATGTGGGATACTACTGGTGGAAGCCAAACCACAAAATACTGAGCACAGCCACCAGTGCAGGCATGTGGGATACTACTGGTGGAAGCCAGTTCTCTCAACAAGACAAACAGCAGAGTTAACATTGGCTCTACAATACAGGGAGGGGAAAAGAAAAGTCTCTCGCAAGCCTGCAATTTTTTTGTTGCCCAAACTAGGTGTTTTTCCTGACAAAAGTTGCATTGTAACAAACTAGGCATGTTAAAATGTGTGCAATTAAGTAACCATGTAGCATAAACTAGGGAGCTGTGTCTACACTGCACTCCCTTTCCGGAAAAGGGATGCAGATTAGACACTTCGGAATAGCAAAATCCGTGGGGGATTTAAATATCCCCCGTGGTATTTGCATTAACATGGCTGCCGCTTTTTTTCCGGCTTGGGGATAAGTAGGAATAAGAGATCCTCTGGAAACGGGCTTATTTTCCGGAGAATCACGTCTAGACTGGCGCTTTTCTCCGGCTTATCCCCAAGCCGGGAAAAAAGCGGCAGCCATGTTAATGCAAATACCGCGGGGGATATTTAAATCCCCCACGGATTTTGCTATTCCGAAGTGTCTAATCTGCATCCCATTCCGGAAAAGGGGTGCAGTGTAGACACAGCCGGGATGTTAAAATGTGTACAATTAATTAACCATGTACTGCTGAAAATTTCAGTGGTTACATGCAGGGTGGCAGTCGCCTTCAGCCTGCAGCCCCACGCTGCTGCCTTTGTATCAGAAGCAGCAGTGTGGGGCAGCAGGCAGCACACTGGGAGCGGGGGGGGGGCAGGATAACAAGAGCCTGAGTGTAACTATGAAAGTTAACCAATGAACCCAGGTTCGTTGCTTAACCTTTTCCACGGTTACACTTTCATATCCCTAGTGTAAATGCTCTCATTGTTTTGTCACCAAAAGGCAATTTTTGGCAACAAAACATGCCAATGTAGACAAGTCCTTAAGGGGAATTTATCATAAAACTATAAATCACGCTGGATTATAAACGGTACCCTTTCACTGATAATGGTTCTATGGGAATCATCAAAATAGATACAAGGGGGGAGGCAAAGAGGACATAGACTGAACCAAAATCTTAGTACAGGTTGAACCTCTCTAGTCTGGCACCCTTGGAACCAAACCAGTGCCCAACCAGAGAATCTCTCAAACCACAGGTGATCAATATTGGCTAGCAGCATTACCAACTTCCACCTCTTATTGGGATCTTAGAAGACATTTGGGGGTAAATTAGAGCAAGATTACTGCACAGAACACTGGGAGCTAGGACTGATGGCTATAAACAAATTTTATGGGACTGCAGGAAAGCTGGTCACAACCATGATAAGTGGACATCTGTCAAACTAAATTATGCCAGACCAGAGAGAACCAGACTAATAATGTTCAACCTGTACAGAAGATATCACTTGTCTCATCTGCAATCTGTATGAATACTACTCTGAATATAAAAAACTGTATTAGTGTAAGTAAAATTTTAATCAACAAACAAGTAGTAAAAACAGATTAGATTACGTCCCTCCACTCTGCACGTATAGCAATTACTCTGAATATAAAAAAACTGTATTAGTGTAAGTAACATTTTAATCAACAAACAAGTAGTAAAAACAGATTAGATTACGTCCCTCCACTCTGCACGTATAGCAATTAATTTTAACCTGAAACATCCTCAGTTATGCGCACGCAGCTCCAATTAACCTTAATGGTAATCACAGGGATATAACTGACTCTAGTTAATGACTAGTAGTAACTCAAAGCAAATGTTAAGACATTTTGAAATCTGATTTCTGAGAATTTAGTGTAACTGTTACAATTTAAACTATATATATATTTTAGTTTGCCTTGCCCCATCCTCCTTTCTTGTGGGAGGAGAAAATAAAAGGAAAAAAGATTAGCTCACTACTCTGTCTCCACTAAGCTGCCTTCTGGTGATAAAACTGTGAAATGTAGACAAACCCTAAGTGTCCACATGGGGAGTCAAAATGCACTAGTTGTTCTGCACTAAATTCACATCTTAACTTACTCTGAACTGTCTCACATAGAAAAAGGTGCTCTGGGTTCATCTAAGTAGTAGTTGCTCCACAATGAACAGTGATAATAGATACTTAGACTCTGCAAGCATCTCTTAGTATTAGATATACATATTGATATTTATATTACAGCAGCACTTAAGAAGTTCCAGCCAAAGTTAGGGCTCCACTGTGCTCGGTACTATACTGACTCACAGTAAGCAGCAGTTCCTGCCTGAAGGTTTCTGCATTCTCAACAAAGTAGAAAAAGTGTGGAAGAAAGGAACAAACCAGACCAGTAGAAGCTGCACAACTAAAACATAGAGATTAAATGCCAGGAACTGAACTTGTTTCTCTTGATTTCCATAATTTTAAGTAACTACAATAATGAAGTGAAGTCAATCAATCTTGCTCTCTTTTTATATCTTTTTTATATTTTCCTGTGGGACAACAGAGTAGAGATGTTAACTATCAGTTATTTTACCAGTTGAGTAGTCGATGGAATTTCCATCGACTACTTGACAGGCACTTCTGTATTCCTCCTCTGAAGAGCCCGCTGGGGCTCTTGTACATTTCAAAGGAGAGACGCAGAAGTCGTGTACAGCCCGGGGCCAGCAGGAAGTCCCATTGACTCCAGGTTGCACACGGCGTGTCAGCTTTGAAATACTGCTGCACTGCCAATTTGGAATGTCATGAGGAGCCAGGATCACCTGGGGACTCCCCAGCTGACCGCACATGGCATTTCCCCAGAACTCAGGGTCAGCTGGGGACTCCCCAGCTGATCCTGGGTTTCATGGAAATGTCATGCTGGAGCCTGGACCCAGGGCTCCACGCACAGCAGTACCACACAGCTGATCCTGGCTCAGCTGTGCAGCGTATCGCCTCTCCCCCGCCTTTGCTGCCTCTGATAAAGACCAGTGCTACCTTGTGCGCTCCCTAGACCAGTGTCTACCTGCCTCTGGGCCCCAACCCTAGCCTGCCCGGGTCACACGCCTGTCGCACAGCTTCACTCTGTGCTCCAAACTCCCTGGATTAAAAGGCTCCCTGATCTTACACCCCAGCCGCTTCCCCAGCTTTCCGGACTGGCCGCTCTGTGTTCCAGGCTCCCTGGACCAACAGGCCCATTTGGAAAGGCTGTGGTTCCTCTTGTAGTGGACAGGGCTGTACTGCCTGGCCCCGTGGTGCTCCTGGAAGGAAGGGGCACCCAGCTCAATGAATTTGTGGGAGGAGGCAGAGTGCATGAAAGGAGGAAGCAAGGGAAGGGGATAGGGTGTATGTGGGGTTGGGCGGTGTGGTAAAGGGGTATGGTAGGAGTGAGAGGGATATAGGAATGGAAGTAGGGGTTGTGGGGAGGAGGAGGAAGTTAGGGAAGATGGTGAATGCAGGAATGGAGGCAGGGGATCAAATTGAAGTATAGGTTGCCAGGGGGGAGGAGGAGAGCCAGGGCTGGCCTGCCCTTGATCCAGTGGCCAGGAAGGGACAAGACAGGGCTGCCACGCCTCAGCACAGCCCTCCCTAGTGGTCAGGGGAAGAGCCGGGGCTGCCTACCCCTAGAGAGAGGAGGGTTGGCGAATGTAGCAAGCAGGGGGCACAGCCCCCTAGTAATGCATAATTGAAGTAATTGTAATGTAACTACAATAATACAAAGTTGAGGTGCTATTGCTGACAAACACAAAGTAATGCATATTGGAAAATCTAATCTAACTATACATACAAAATGATGGGGCTTATATTCATTGTTACTACTCAAGAAAGATCTCAGAGTCATTGTAGCTAGAGCTCTGAAAGTATCGACTCAATGTTTAATGGTACTCACAAAAAGCTAATAATGTTAGAGCCATTAGGAAAGAGATAGATAATAAGACAAGCAATATCATAATGCCAGTATGTAAATCCATGACGCACCCACACCTTAAATACTGTGTGCAATTCTTTTTGCCCTAATAAAAAAATATATATATATTATAATTGGTAATAGTACAGAGAAGGGCAAATAAAAATTATTAGAGATATAGAACAGCTTTCATATGAAAAGAGATTTAAAAGCCTGGGATTTTTCAGCTTGAAAAAGAAACAAGTAAAGGGGGATATAAAATGAATCAGTATTATTTACTCCTTCACATAATATAAGAATGAAAGGTCACACAATTACATTAATCATTTGGTTTTAAACAAACAAAAAGAAGTATTTCTTCACTCAACACAGTCAATCTGTGGAACTCGTTGCCAGGAGATGTTGTGAATAGGATATTAAAAACTGTGTAATAGGGTAACTCTATCACTGCTGAAAATCACAGCAGTTACAGAGTTACCTGCTGAAAACTCAGCAGTTACACGGTTACCTGAAATGCTAAGCCTTATATTGCAGAGCCCACATAGGAGCCTTCCTGGGAGAAATGGCCACCAGTCCCTATCAGCCCGGCTCCTGGAGAGGAGGCTGTGTGTAACAGACACCATTAACCAATAAGCATCTGCTTATTGGTTAAACAGTTAGTCATTTACATTCTTACATCCCTTGTTGTGAATACTAAAATTATAAAAGCGTTCACAAAATAATTAGATATGTTTCAGGAGGAGAAGTTCATCAATGGCTATTAGCCATGATGAGCAGGGATATAACAATGTGCTCACATGACTGACTCTTTATGGATGCTTTGATGTTATTCCCCTGAAAAATGCTCAATTGAGCAAAACTCAAATTTCTGAAACCAAGGATATACACTTGGAACCTTAACTCTTGCTTCTTGAAGCAATGCCTCAGTAGCTCTTGTTAACACTCATACCTTTGTTCCTCCTGTGTCATACTTACTGAAATGCACAAGCTCTTCACCTTGTCTTACAACCAATTCACTCTTACCCACAGAATTCCATCCAACACTTTTAAAAAACAAAAAGGAAGGTGGGGGGTTGTCCATGTCACCTTCTAACTTGTCCCCTGGAAATGAGAGTAGGCAATGCGAGTTATTCACATATACTGTAAGTACAATCACTTGTCAGGCATTAGGTGCAAGTGAAGGCAGTAGTTGGGCCTTTTTGATAAAGCTGCGTTGTAATATGAGGACATTCGTAGATTATCCTGGGTATGGAACAGTTGTGATTATGATGTGAGGAGATCTGTTTTGCACCTTTCAGTGTTTGTGAGCAAAAAGAAGAGATGCTCGTGCCCCTTTAGAATCCATTATGCATCAGTTCAATGGCAAATTACATAGGTTATGTCAGTAGCAAGGCCTAGGGATTTTATTACCAGGATTATTGTCAACAGTGAGGTGGAATATGAGAGGATTTTAATGATGTCTTAATGAAAGCACAGGTTGAGAAGATGTCCTGTGATTAAGTGTAGGGATGTTGCAAAAAGCTGTTTATAATGATGTCTTAATGAAAGCATAGGTTGAGAAGATGTCCTGTGAATAAGTGTAGGGATGTTGCAAAAAGCTGTGAAGACATTCTTAAATTGTACACACGTGATATTCTTAAATTCTATATGCATGATATTCTTTCTAGGGAGCTGATTAAGAATCTGTGTGAGGTCTGGATCTGGAAGCTCCTCAATTTTAAGCCATGTCCACGCTACACAACTATATTGGTATAACTACGCAATTTGGGATGTGAAAAATCTACATCCCTGAGCAATGTAGTTATACCGACCTAATCCCTTATGTAAATGGTGCTGTCATAGCTATGTAACCACTATGTCTCCCATCAATGTAACTATAGCCTATCAGGGAGGGGGATTAACTAGACTGCTTCAGCTAAATAGCTGTAGTGCTGTATGTGAAGACAAGCCTTTCTAGTGCCAAAGGCTAGCATTACTTGTGTCTATGTGCATACTGACTGACACACTGCTTGAAGAGCGTAGAGGGAAGGTGGCATGGGCAGCCTCCCTTTCCCACTCCCTTTTTATCCTTTTGCAGTGTTAGATGGAACCCTATTGGTAAGAGTGAATGGGATGAAAATTAGTTGAAATATACATGCTCTTCACCAGCTGTTGAAATAGATCTTAAATATCGTCCACAATTTGGACCACCAAACACTAGATGCCATTCATTACAAAGAGTAAAAATTTACTGAGACCATTTTGACCCACATCACAGCAACAGTTTGACCTCCAGTTCTGCACATAAAAATCCTACAATCATAGAATTTTAAAAGTAGCTTTTTTCAGGGATTATACCTCCAGAATCCTTGGCTCAAAAGACCTCCAATTTGGGACACTGATCCTATTCCAGATTCCCACAAGGAACAGCAATGTAAGAATATAAGAGCAGCCATACGGGGTCAGACCAAAGGTCCATCTAGCCCAGTATCCTGTTTTCCAACAGCAGCCAATGCTAGATGCCCCAGAGGGAGTGAACAGAACAAGTAATCATCAAGTGATCCTTCCCCTGTCACCCATTTCCAGCCTGCGATAAACCCATCCTGGCTAATAAGTATTGATGGACCTATCCTCCATGAATTTTAAGAAAACATATGAAAAGGTGGCTCTTAAAGCACTTAGAAGTGTTGTCATTCAAACAAGACAGAGAGGGATGATGGAGAGAAAGGGCTCCTTTATACATCCCTCTGCAGCAGAGAAGGCTCTGAAAGGTGTGAATGAGACCAGTCCATAAAGATAAACAGGGCTCGACAAATAATGTAATCTACTCGCCCGTGGAGAGTAGATTACAACCCGGAAGAGCCGGCACAAAGCGATCTGCGCACCGCGCGGCTGGCGAGCCTTGGAGATAAACACAACCTGAACCAATAACTCAGACACAAAACCACCCACTTATCTCAGTGGTTGTCCATTCTCAGCTCCCAACACAAAAGACAATGATTTCCCCACATCCTGACTTACATGCAGGGGTAGGAAGGAGATCAGACTCTCCCAAAATTTCAGTTGCCCCCCCCCCACCCTATGTGGCAGGGTATAAGGATGTTAAATATCAGTTAACTGAATAGTTGAGTAACCTCACAAATTCTTATCAGTTAGTTGACTATTCTATAGTCCCCAAAGTCGGAGCTGGAAGCCAGTGTGCTCCAGCCCCACTCTCGAAGAGTCCTCTGCCACTCCATGCTGCTGCCTCTATATCAGAGGCAGCAGCACGGGGTGCCAGGCGGGAGCTGGTCCACAAGAGGAGCCAGTTTAAAAACCAGCTCCCCTCATGGGACCCAACATGAACTGGAACTGAGCCAGGCTGCTGGCCAGCCTGCTAAAAAATTTACTGGTGGCGGGGGGAAGGGGGAGAAGAAAGACTGAAGGAAATGCATGTAGTTTATAGCATTAACCTATAAGCTTTTGCTTATTGCTTAATTGACTACACCAGGGTCCGCAGCCCGCTTATTTGCCGCCCTCAGTGCAGTTTGGGTTTACGTGGGGTTCAACATACAGCCCATGGGTAGGTAGGAGCCAAAATAAAGAAGTAGTCAATATAATGGTCTTCTGTTGATATGTATTTTAGTAAAACTCCTGTCATTGCTCATTAAAAGTGCTGTCATGTGGGTGGAAATTGGGTAAATATTGCATTTTATTAATATCAGCAGAACTGACTTAAATGGGGCCTGTGTGTTGTGTAGTCTTGCTTTAATATTTGTATTCATACCAGTCAGCATGAAGAGCTATTTGCATACAGGCAGTCCCCGGGTTACGTACAAGATAGGGACTGTAGGTTTGTTCTTAAGTTGAATCTGTATGTAAGTCAGAACTGGCGTCAGCCGCTGCTGAAACTGATCAGTTTCAA